GCATGATGAAAAATTACTTGAGGGGCTCGCGGGGGCGGGTTCTCATGGTCCTGATGCGTTTGGAAGGGGAGGCCTCTGGTAGTGAGGGGGGCAGGGCAGCAAGAAAGGAGGGGGGGTCTGGAGGAAGGAGCTGCTGTCATCAAAATATTGGTGTGATAGACAGGGGAGGACCCTCAAGATGTGACCTGGCTGATGGGAGCGGGAGACCTATGGGGTGACCCCAGGGCACCCCTGCCCCTGGCCCATCTGGTAAGAACCCAGGGCGGGCTGTGTCTTCCAGGCTATTTATCTCTGAGAGGTCCCAGGCGAGTGACGGGCACCGTGGGGGGATCACTGAGCGTGCAGTGTCGGTACGAGGAGGAGTTCAAGAAAAATAACAAATACTGGTGCACATACTCATATTTGCCACCACTGAGGACGAAGATTGTGGAAACCACAGAGTCAGAGAGAGAAGTGAGGAGCGGCCGTGTGTCCATCAGGGATGATCCAGCAAACCTCACCTTCACAGTGACCTTGGAGAGACTCACAGAGGATGATGAAGGCACATACTGGTGTGGGATCAATAGACCATGGACAAAAGAACTGATAGACCTCACCTTCAAGGTTATGGTGTCTGTGTCCCCAGGTGAACTGCACACACCCTCCCCTTGTCCTGCCTGAAGAGTCTCAGGTCGGAATAGCTGAGGCAGGAATCGGATCAGAGACTCAGAGCAAACTATGAGTGCGTGTGTGTGAGTGTGAGTGTGAGTGTGTGTGTGTGTGTGTGTGTGTGTGTGTAGAGAGAGAGAGACTGAGTGTGTGTGTATATGTGTGTGGAGAGAGAGAGACTGTGTATGTGTGTATGTGGGTGGAGAGAGAGAGAGAGACTGGGAGGCATCCTGTAGGAGCTGCGGCCCGTGCTCAGTCTGAGGGATGGGAAGGTGTTTGTCAGGTGAAGGGCAGGCCGAGAGCAGAGTGTGCAAAGGAGAGAGCGGAGAGGAGAGGAGATGCCGGTCAGCCCCGCGGAAGCCGGACCTGCGTGGGGGAAGTCTGGGGGCTGAAGGTGTGAGCGCAGCGGGAGCTCCAGC